TCTAGCCACAAGTAATGCCCTCAAAAGAATATGAAATTCAGTTTTTTACACGCAATCCCACCTTGAAATTCTCTAGCAAATACTGAAAAAAAAAAGGGAGCGCAATCGCAGAATGAAGAAAGCTGAGCTGGTCTTCATACCAACACCAGTTATAAGCCACCTCGCATCCACAGTAGAGGTAGCAAAGCTTCTTGTAGACCGTGATGAGAGGTTTTCAATCACCTTCCTCATCATGAAACTACGTTTTGACCCCAAGATTGATAGGTTTATAAATTCAGTGAGTACAGCCTGTAATCGTATCCGGTTCATTGACTTGCCTAAAGATGAGCCGGATCCAAACCAACCGAGGAAGTTTCTCTTTTCTTTGATTGAAGCCCAGATACCCCATGTCAAAGAAGAAGTCTTTAAGCTTGTGAGTCAGTCGGAGTCAAGCCCTGACTCGCCTCCTCTTGCTGGGTTTGTTCTGGATATGTTTTGTACATCTATGATAGATGTGGCCAATGAATTTGGTGTTCCATCATATATTTTCCTTACGTCAGGTGCAGCTTTTCTTGGCCTTCAATTTTATTTCCAGGCTCTTCACGATGAGCAGAGAGTCGACCCTATAGAGTTCAAGGACTCGGAAGCGGAATGGGTCATGCCGTGTTTGGCAAATCCTCTTCCAGCCAAGGTCTTACCTTCTTTTTTGCTTTGCAAAGAGGGGCTGGCTCGTTTCCTCGTTCAAGCTAGAAGGCTCAGGGAAAGTAAGGGTATTATAGTAAACACATTTGAAGAGTTGGAATCTCATGCGATCAACTCCTTTTCTAATGGTAATACCCCTCCTGTGTATCCAGTGGGTCCCATTCTGAACCTTGGTAGAGATGGTCACCGTGATGTGGAGTCTGATAAATTCAAAGACATCAAGCAATGGCTTGATGATCAGCCTCTATCCTCAGTGGTGTATATATGCTTCGGGAGCATGGGAAGTTTCGGTGTGGATCAGGTGAAGGAAATCGCATGTGGGCTCGAGCAGAGTGGCCATCGATTCTTGTGGTCTCTACGTCAACCACCACCGAAAGGTACGATAGAACCTCCTAGCGATTACACTAATCCTCAGGGCGTCTTACCTGAAGGATTTTTGGAGCGGACTGCTATCACAGGAAAAATAATTGGATGGGCCCCACAGACAGATATTTTGGCCCATCCATCCGTAGGAGGGTTTGTATCGCACTGTGGATGGAACTCTGTATTGGAAAGCATATGGTTTGGAGTCCCAATTGCCGCGTGGCCATTATATGCGGAGCAACAACTGAATGCCTTTCAAATAATTGTGGAGCTCGGATTGGGAGTAGAGATTAAAATGGATTATAGAAAAGAGTTTATCTCGGATGGTAATGAAAATGTCATTAGTGCCGGGGAGATCGAGAGAGGAGTAAGGTTTTTAATGGAGCTTTGCGATGAGAGGAGGGAGAAGTTGAAGGAGATGAGTGGAAAGAGCAGGAAGGCTTTGGAGAACGGTGGATCCTCGTTCACTTGGTTAGGTCGTTTCATTCAAGATTTGGTGGATCAACTGCCATGATTAAATTGTACTCTCGTTGTCTTATTTAATGCAATGTCTTTTAGCTGATACCAGCACCCCCCGCGCGCGCGTCTTCCCAGCGCAGTGGCGGGGCAGCTTAATTATCAGGTGTTCTCTCGTCGGGCGCAGGCTTTGCTTACCCTTCAGGGCAAGTCAGCTTCTGTGTTATGTGTTTGCATCCTATAATTTCTCCAACTATTTTTTCAATGTGAAATATATCCCAGAAAGAAGATAATTCCATCCTTTTTATGCTGTATTTGCAACTCTTTACAGTAAAGATAACTTTATTATTATATTGTTTTAATTCATATTATTTTATGTTTAGATACAGTAATAAACTAAATTCTTTTGGTAGATTGCATGATATTGTTTTTATTGTTATAATTATAGCTGTCGGATCTTCGTGGGAATTTATATGAAAAATCCAAGAGGCTATCAAGTGAATTTGGATACACTATTTTTTATAGAAACACTAATATTTTATTATTTTCTCTTGTTGATCAACAAGATTAGGGTTGGATTTAGCGACGACAAGGAGAGCCATGTTGTCTGAATTTGATTTAATTAATGTCTTTGTAAAACTGAGTCTAAATCAACCTTTCAATTTCAAATTTCTTTTACCAAACCACTAAACTACCCCTTGAAAAGCCCATTGCCTGGGAAGTCATTATAAAACGACGAAATGCCGCCGATCTCCAATGTCGTCATTTTCTAAACCATCACCGAAAGTTTGTTTACAGATCTTGTCTCGATCCTAAAAGATAATTTCAGGGACGAGATTTTTTCAATCAGATCATTACAAAATCACAATTGCGGTGTAAACAGATCCAAAACACGTGTTGAAGCATTGAAAATTCAGACCATGACACAGATACATTATTACTGAATGATTTATTGATAGGAAAAGTACGTTGAAAAAAATATTTATTTATTTTATTGATTAGTATATTTTTGGGAAGCTTGTTGTATAACCTACATAAATATTATATGCAATTTGATTGGTGCTTATTTAAATTTTTTAAAAAAATCTATTTAATAAAACTAGATAATAATTAAATAATTAAAATTTATTTAAAAATTCTATAAATAAATCAATTAAAAATTATTCTTATATAAAAAAAATTTTTACAATAACATTCATATAATTATTAAGATCATAAAAAATTAAAAAACATAAAAAAATATTATCTTGATATAGTTGAGCTAAAAAAGCAAAAAATTTATAAAATATATTACTTGAAAAAAACCAATAAAAAACAAAAGAGAAGAAGACATAATTGAGTGCGGATGAGAAAAGAAGTTGAGGAGAAAAGAGATGAGAAAACAAAAAGATGCTGATGTTTTTTACATAAAATAAAAAAAAATAAAAAATAGGCTTGTTTTTTGTGAAATGAGGTATTATAATCTTTTTATTAAGATATTTTATTGATGATTTAATCGATGAATAATTAAATATTAATATTTTTAATTATTTTATTGGTGATTCAGTCTATAATATTTAATTTATATTTTTTATTTAATCAAAAAAATTTAAAAATCACCAAATATCACCTATGATTTTTTAATTCATTGTGATTTTTTCTGTAAAAAATAGTAATTAATAATGTAATTGAGAAGTGAATATTATAAAATTCTTTGAAAAATACTAATAAAATTTTCGATGGATAATTCTGTTGATAAATAACATGATGAGCAATGTCATAAAGAAATAAATAGTTTACTAACAAGTTTATGAATTAATTTTACCAATAATATTAATATAGTTGATAATTTTGTTGATATAAATAACACATTATTGTATTCTTTAGTTTTATTTTAATTTTTTTCACTGTAATTTTTTTAGTACATACTGTTAAAATATTTTTATTGATAAAATTTATTATAATTTATTTATGAAAATATTCTATTAATATTTATATTTATATTTATTAATTTTCTTAGTGTATTACAAGGAAACAATATTTTTCCCCCTTCAAATTATATAACCAGACCACATTCTAAAAGAGATCTATAATTTTCTAAAGGATAAATGGTACAATTAGCGTAGAGAGAGTAGCAGATTTAGTACAGATATTATATTAATTTGGAATTATTGAAAATTAAAAAAAATCTAAAGAAATATCCTTGTCGATTACAGCTCTTGAAAGTTTGTTTATTTTTGTATTTTAAAAATATATTAAAAATAATTTAAATTTAAATTTATTTTTTTTCAAATTAATATTTTTTTTAATATTTTAAAATTATTTTAATGTATTAATATTAAAAATATTTTTTTAAAATAAAAATATTATTTTAATATATTTTTAAATAAAAAACACATTAAAGATTACCTAAGACTGTACTCTCCATCAGATCTCGTAACATGAAAATAAAATAATTAAAAATGGAAAATTCAACACATAATGTACATTGAAGAACCTTTGTTGTTTTTCTACATTAAATTCCATAACAAGAGGGCGTCCTAAAAGCCTAGATAGCTGTTCCACGCCGACAGGAAAGCCATGACCTCACTCTTTAATCTTGCGCTACACGTGGATGATATTTTTGACAAAGAAGACTCAAGTCCACTTCATCATAGCCCCCTGGAGTGCGCACATAAAAAGGATACGAAGATCAGTCTTTTACATTCCTCCTTGAACTCTGTAGCTACTCGTTGGAAGCCAAGGAAAAAAACAAACAAACAGAGATACCTCAGTTGCAGAAATGAAGAAAGCTGAGCTAGTCTTCATACCAGCACCTGGTATAAGCCACCTTATGTCCACAGTAGAGGTAGCAAAGCTGCTTGTAGACCGCGATGAGAGGCTTTCAATCACCTTCCTCATCATGAGCCTAAGTTATGACTGAAAGACTGCATGCTATATTGATTCATTGAGTGCAACCTGCAGTCGTATCCGGTTCATTAAGTTGCCTGAAGATTGGCCTGAACCCAACAAGTTTCTCTTTTCTTTGATTGGAACCCAGAAACGCCATGTCAAAGAACAAGTATCTAAGGTTGTGATTCAGTCCAAGTTAAGCCCTGACTCGCCTACACTTGCTGGGTTTGTTCTTGATTTTTTTTGTACATCAATGATAGACATGGCCAATGAATTTGGTGTTCCCTCTTATATTTTCTTGACGACAGGTGCAGCTTATCTTGGTCGGCAGTTTTATATTCAGGCTCTTCATGATGAGCAGGGAGTAAACGCTGCTCAGTTCAAGGACTCGAATGCTGAGTTGGTCTTGCCTTGTTTGGCTTACCCGCTTCCTGCTAAGGTCCTGCCTTCTGCTGTACTCAAACAAAGAGTGGCTGCCTGCTTTCCATGATCAAGCAAGAAGGTTTAGGGAAACTAAGGGTATTATAGTAAACACATTTTAAGAGCTGGAATCTCATGCGATCGACTCCTTTTCAATGGTAATACCCCTCCGGGGTATCCAGTGGGTCCCATTTTGAACCTTAATAGAGATGGTGATGGTGACGAGGAGTCTGATAAACGCAAAGACATCAAGCAATGGCTTGATGATCAGCCCCTATCCTCAGTAGTGTATCTATGCTTCGGGAGCATGGGGAGTTTCGGAGTGGATCAGGTGAAGGAAATTGCTTGTGGGCTAGAGCAGAGTGGGCATCGATTCTCGTGGTCTCTACGGAAACCACAACCGAAGGGTAAGATGGAAATTCCGAGCGATTACACTAATCCTCAAGATGTCTTGCCCGAAGGGTTTTTGGATCGGACGGCTAAGATTGGAAAAATAATTGGATGGGGCCCAGAGATCGATATTTTATCCCATCCATCTGTAGGAGGATTCGTATCACACTGTGGATGGAGCTCTATATTGGAAAGCATATGGTTTGGCGTTCCAATTGCCGCGTGGCCAATACAGGCGGAGCAACAACTTAATGCTTTTCAAATAATTGTGGAGTTAGGGTTTGGTGTGGAGATTAAAATGGATTGTAGAAGAGAATTTTTCTATGATGATAATGAAAACATTATTAGTGCTGGGGAAATAGAGAGAGGAATAAGGTGTTTGATGGAGATTGGCAAGGAGAAGGTGGAGAGGTTGAAGGAAATGAGTGAGCAGAGTAGGAAGGCTTTGATGGAAGGTGGATGTTCAAACACTTGGCTAGGGCAGTTGATTCATGAAATGGTAGACAACATCCCATGAACAAAATGTACTTTCTCTTTGCATCATCTGGGAATCGACAATTCCTTTACCATGATTGTTTGTGTATTGTAATTTCTCTCTGTTGAACTTTGTATTGTCTTTCTTTAATTAATGTCTTTGTCCGGGTCGGAATATAAAATAATAACAATAAAAAAAAAAACACAGATCTTGACTTACATCTAAGAGTTTTGAAAAAAGTAAAAAGCTGAAAAAGTGTTGCCGTGGGCAAACTTAGAATAAAAAGAACTTTGTTAGGATAGTAAAATTGTGATCGTTGGTTATATAAATAAAGCATGGAACATCACCCATACATACTTAAAAATCTTTAAAAAAATGAAATCTATTACATTGATGAAGTTGAGTAAATTATATTAAAACAACTTTTATATAATTTAATTTTAATTTTAAATTAAGATAATTTTTTATATGAAATTCATATATGTTTTTTTAATTTTCTTTTCATAAATTTTTTATTAGTTATTCAATTTATTTTTATACTGTCAAATTAATTAGGTCATATTAAAAAAATTCTTATATAATTTAATTTTAAATTCAAGTTAGACAAGAAATTGAGTTGTGAAGTTTTTTTTATTAATTTATCTTCTTTTTTTCATCTTTGCATTTGTTTTTATTAGGTGACCAGAATGTCTTTGAACCAAATAGATTAGATTATATTAGACTAGTTTCTACAAAGTTTAATTTTAAATTTCAGTTAAATAAATAGTTGGATTAAGAAATTTTAAGGTTAACTTATTAAGTTAAATTTAATAATAATATGAAACAATTCTTTATAATCTAAAAATTATTGAGTTAAACAAAAAAGACCTAACCCATAAAGAATCATGAGACTTGAAACTAATATAATATGATATAAAAAAGAAGATGAAAGAGACAAGAAAAACAAGTAAAAAGGGTTAATTTTTTTTATCATTCAATTGTCGAATTGAAAATACGATGAATAATAGCATTCAAGCAATTTTGTCTATAAGAAACGAATGAATAAATAATATTTCATCATTAAGTTTGCAATTCAATCAACGTATATGCCTTTTACTTTCAAAAGATTTCATTTCAAAGTTTAAAAAGGTAATTAATATTGAAATGTATTCCTTGTATAAAGAAAAAAGAAACAATGTATATAAATTAATCGAAGTTCATTTTTTTATATATAATATTGAAATGTATCCAATCTATAAAGAAAGGAAATTATAAATATTTATAAATTTTGAAAATGCTACAATAAAGCTACATCAAGAATCCAACTGCTTCGCTTAAGATTTTATTCATCAAACACATCTCAACCACATTTATGTTTAAATCAAAATTCATGATAATTTTTAATTTTTGATTACCTTTATAGAATGACAAGTTTCTAAATTCAGTTTTAATTAAAAACAAAAATCAACATTAATACCATGTTTAAAAAACAAATAAAATGCTATAGAAATTATATAAATGGTGGTTGAATTTTTTTTATGGGTATAGATCTATCATTATTTATATTAAAAAACAATACCAATAACTATGCTTGTTGATTGGTTTCCAAACATGGACTAGAATTTGCCAGTCCAAATCAACAGCTACCCTCGTTCACAACAAGATCAAGTTAGGCCCATTTTGATTAGGGCAGCCTATTACAAAAGCATTTTCACGTATAGCAGTGTTTGCCTGTTAAGTTCCAAGTTTATGATCTTCATGAAAGTTTCAACTGAAACAAAGCTCCCTTGATACAAGAGTCATAGAATTACAAAAACATGTAAGTTTAGACGCAAATTCAAGCGAAAAAAGTTACTGGCCACAACCATTATACAGAACTTTACAGAAGCACCCAAAACAAGTAATCATCCAGGCACAATTCTGATCGAACCTATTACCTGTAAGGGATAGAAAAGGCAATCTAATTCTTGATTTTTGCATCTTTGTTATATGTCTCAGCATAGTATTCTTCATCGTCAAAATATTCTTCATCGTCATAATCATCATCGTCGTCATCATCATAATAATATTCTTCCTCTTCATCTTCACTGTTCTCCTTGCCATTTTCCAGCAGCCTGCTTGATTGTTGCCCTCTCAATCGTTCTTGAATTCGATCCCTAATGGCAGTGCCCTGAATGATATACAAATGGATGGTAAAATGACTGTTGAAATGTGATTTTCATGTATGTATGTGTGTTCAACTGGAAAACCCCCATATCCACACACTGGCTAGTGATCATTGTGTGAGAGTGTTGTGGGTCGAACCACCCTTTTTTTAACTTAATAAACAATAGAACTTACCATTTTATGGCAACCTTCTTCAAACATCTCAAGAAATCCAGCAACCCAGCGATCAGCATTTTCCACCCATTCATTACGATGCATTGTGACAATTTGAATCTATAAATATAAGAGTATTAAAAATGTAATAACCATAGGAATTCAACAGGCAACAAAAACAAAGCAAACATGTGAGTTATGAAAATTGACTGGTCCACATCCAGTCATCAGAATGGCATGAAAAGAAACTCACAAAAGAAATACAGCACTAGCAAATGTATGACAACACTAAATCTCCGTGATTTTGGTGCTAGCCTATTAGATGGGTGAAGAAAAGACATACATCTGAAATTTTTGAAGTTGATGTTGTTACTCAGTTCTGAATGCATGGAACAACACAAACTACAGTAGATAGTGACAGTAATATTACTATAATCAGCTATTTGACGGTTATATTTCAAGGTTACAACTCCTGAATCAAGTTAAGATAATTTAAATTATATGCTTCACATAATCAACAGAAAATATTAAAGTTTAAACAAGAGGAAAGTAAATATAACTAGAAGTAATGATGTGTTTCCAGAAGAAGTGAAGAGCTTTATTGCATCCTACTGTTAACCATAAAAGTTAGATGATACTCTACTTGCAAGTAAACCATGGGAAAAAAGATGTTGGTGAAACACTCCAATGTTTAGGCATAAGATAAAAGATACCTTTTCTCCAACTTTTTCTTGTTGTTCCTTCACTTTCTCCTGTAGTTTTTTCAATCTCATGTTCACCCTCAGTCGCTTTTCCTGATTAACATTAACCGCAACCAGAAGAAGATAAGTTCCCTTGTTGGGAAGGAATGATACACAAAAACAAACTTCCATGCAGAATCATCAAATCAAAACCAAATACAATGTAAGAACATGCCTTTACATAGCTAACACCAAGCTCTTTTCTTGAATATCCTCGATCCAAGTTACGCAACACATACTGGTTGTAGTCTTTAACAATCCTCATTATAATGTCCGATGTAGAAATGCCATCAGTTCTTTTTGTTTCCTTGAATCTCCCAACTTTTTTTACCTGATATAAAAGCTTGCTTAATATAACAATACACTATCAAAAGGATTAATGAAAACATAAGCGATGACTGTTGCTCAAACTTACAAATTCATAGACATCCTTTCCAGCTCCACTGGCATCGGCATACCTATAAATGAAGTGCAAGGCCAAATTGAAGAGATTACTAATATTTTTTTATAACTTCAATTAATCAAATGAACATCGCTTGAAAGATTACATGAGATGAAATATTATAGAATCAAAATAGATAGAAATAAATCTTTAGCACCTTACCTTTGTATAACTATAAACTATTACTCAGTAATTGGATGAACAAATTAGACACTAAACTTATGGTATGAGAAGTACAGTTCCATTGCTGTATTAAAACTACTTAATATCAACTCGTAATTGGACAATAAGATGTGCATTTTATATAGGATTTCTTACGGTAGAGAATCATGAGCAACATAGTCAATATTGTGCTTGTCTAGAAATTCTTGATCGATAACCCAAGGCGCATCAGGAATAACTTCATCCACCCACCTGTAAAATAAAACAAGGCCTTTTGCTATCAAAGACACTTAAATTGCCAATTCCAAGCACCCATGCCTCTTGATGAAACAAATACCTTTTAAAAGGTATGTTTTACGAAATAAAACTTGAAAAATAAAAGTTGTTCAAAAGTTCGAAAATCAACAAAAAAAATCATACTTGCAATGGCGAAGAGATTCATAACGTTCATCCTCTGTCATAACGGTTTTGCCCTTGTACTTGTGTGTGGTATCATCATTGCAACATCCTACGAGCAAGTACGTGTTTGGAAACCTAAATTCACAAAGTGATCATATAAACAACTAAGAAAGAAGGAGTTTTAGAGCAAAAGTATCAACTAAAAGTGAGCTAATTACAAGAAAAACAGAGCAAGACAGCTTAAATTCATATATATACGAATACACAGAAATTTAAAAAACAAACCATGTACTGTAAATTTCAACAATCTAACACAAGTTTACATCCAAAAAAAAAAAACGTTAAGACAATCTAAATCAATAATAAAAATGCCTCAAGTGTGAAATCCATTTAAAAAAAGCAACAAAATGGTAAAAACAAAATCCAAAAAAACAAAAAGCTTGAGACTTTTACATGATTTACAACACAAAACCAGTAAAAGCAGAACAAACCCAGAAAATCAAATCCCATAAAATTTCCAAAAACTCCAAAAATTCAGTATCCAATCAAACTCCCACAAAAATCCCACAAAAAACAAAAACAAGAAAAACCCAGAAAGCAAACAGATCAAAACACAAAAGAAACTAAAAAAGCCAAAGACTTTAGCACAATAACACATACAAAAACCGAAAACATACGATTTTTTGGCTTGTTCAAGAGAGCGAGCATGGCCAAAATGGAAGAGATCATAGATCCCATCAGCATAAACACGAACAGGACGATCAGACGGTGGTGGCAGTGTTGAAGGATCAGAATTCGAATGACAAGAGACTATGCAGTCATTTCCATTCATCATCTTCTTCTCTTGCTGTTCTGTCTCTGCCATTCGCATTGGAATGGAATTTAACAGAGTCTCTGTTTTTATTTATTTTTGGAGCTTCAATAATCCATTTTTAGCGTGTTTAGATGAAAATACGGTCTTATCCTTCCTTTCTTTTTAATTTTAATAGGCCGAAAGGAAAATAAAAAATGACAGGACTCCTTAATTTTTACTTAATTTACATATAAGTAATAATTAAATATTAAGATATAATTATTAAACATAATCTGATTTAGATCATTAATTTGGATTAATTAAAAATATTAAAATACATTGTTTTCATTTTAAAAAAAATTAATGAGATTTTTATCTAATTGAATGAGCTAAGAGTAACAGAGCTAATTGAATAAATTTCAAATTAATATTTTCAGATGTGATATAGAAAACTTATTAATCAAATCTTAAGTTAATTAATCGAGTTGAATAAGATTTAATAACATTTTTTTCATATAAAAAATATTGATTTGTATTAATTAGATTTTTAACTCTCTTGATTGATGAACATGGAAAGTGAAAAGTTATGTCGATTGATAAAGATAACTGTCTTTGTGGAGTCACATGATGCCAGCAGATTTTCAAATTAATTGTCGTTAATGTTATATGATATCTGTCGGTTGGGAATTTCAAAATTCATAGTTATCAAGAAATTATATATTATTAAAAATTGTAATTCTAAATAGTTATTAAATTTGTGTGTGTGTTATTGTGTTATTTTTTATTTGAAAATATATAAAAATAATTGTTTTTATATTAAAAATCTTTTAAAAATATTATTTTTATATATTTTTAAAATTTAATACAGTGATGAACATAAAAATAAATAATAACTTAAAATTTTATACAAGTTATTCATGTAAGATTGGTAAATAGATACTTTCTATATATATAATTCTTGGATATATTAAATACCCTACAAGTTTGGTAAATAAGTAATGCATTATAAAAGAATAAATAAGTAATGCATTATAAAAGAATAACAGATATACACATAATGATTTGAACCTAAAATCTAAATACAAAAATTTTCTATTAGGATCGTTAGGCCACAAATCTAAATATTTCTTTATATTTTTTAAATCTTAAAAAGATTATAATAAAAAATAATTTTTTATAGATAAATTATTTATAAATGAACTTCTTCTCAACATCTAAAAGCAAATTTATTAATTATATTCAAATCTAATTCATAATTTCCTATGAAAATCTATAATTTTTTTATGCATATAGATAGTCCATTTAAGATATGTCTATTGAAAAAACTATTTTTGACGGGTGAAAGTCAATTTGAAGTTACTGTTATTGTTAAACTAAAAAATAAATATGAGAAATTATTTCTTTCAATCTTCAATTAGATTCAAATTCGATTCATGATATTGCATCAATTCTCAAGTGTTCTTAATGTGATAAGCGAGAAATTATAAATACAATAACATTACAACAACTTCCTTACATCTTGTAAAAAAAATTGTTTCTACAATAATAACATATTGACTCTACAAATTTTATAAAAAAAATAGCCTATTAAATATTTTTTATTGTATTATAATTTGTTTTTTTAAATATTATATTAATTTTTAAAATATTTTCTTTATAGTTTTGAAATACTGATGTTAAAAATAAAAAATTATTTTAATATATTTTTTATAAAAAAATATTTTTTTAAAATATATTATACCAAATATATATAAAATATCGAATATATGAGATTATTACAACAATAATTTAATACTAAAAAATTAAAAATAAAAATCAAAGAAAATCTTAAATTAAGTGGAATAAAAATGTATTTGGAACTATATTTATAATTGTTTTTTATTTAAAAAAGTATATTAATAATATTTTTTTATTTTTTAAAAATTATTTTTGAGATAACACATTAAAATAATTTTAAAAAATTTAAAATATATGAATTTAAAAAAATTAAATTTTTTTAAAGACAAACATGTTAAAAGTTAAATAGCTAGGCAATCCCTTAAGCAAAGGACGAATAAGCATTCAAAGAAGAGCAAACTGTAAGGTATACCCTTCGTTTTCTGTGTAGGTTTTGATTTGGTCTCTTTCTTCCTAATTTCACCATTGTTACCCTTCATTAGTTTCAAATATTGCAATCTATATTGCAATCTGTCTATTCTGTTAGTTCCCTCCCGAATTGACATATGCATTAACCTTTCTTCATTACAATCAATACAAAATAGATGTTTTAGTTCATTTCAGTGATAAAAAAAGATGCATGAACTCGCGTTTCAATTCAATTTCACAACTAATATGAAGATTTCTTTCTTGTTTTTCAAATCACCAATTATAGCAAAACTATGAAATTCTTTTTACATTATTGAACATGAAAAAACATTTTCATCACTGAATATTGGACAAGGATAAACATATTCTTGGGAATTTTGAGGAGGATAGTGAAACATATTCTTATTATTGTTGCTGTTATTGTTATTTTTATCCTTCGGTGCTGCCTGGTTTTGTTGCTTCAGAATCTCAACATGAATCCCCAGCTTTCCCATAATTTTCTGGGCGAGTCTTGGTGGATCGAAGGCTCCCCTAACAGTCACTTGTGAATTCTCCATATCTGGCTCCACACTTGAAACTCCTGACATAAAAAGATCATATACAAGATTATTATACAAAGAAAGAAAATCAATAAATAAGAATTTTTTTTTTATCATCTACAGAAATGACTGAATTTTCTGTCCACATCCATGTAAAATTCAGAATAGAAACAGTGATTGGGAATATATAAGTTTTAATCTTCCTGATATCCTCTAATTAATCATTTTCAACTATTGAATAATCCAAAGTAAATTAATAGATAAATGGTTATGTATAATTTATTTATTTTTAGTTTTAAAATCCAGATGACATGCTTGGATCAATTTTCACATGCCGAGATTTCTTATATATTTGGAAGAGAATAAGAAATCGAGAGAAAAGATTAACCATAGCTTATGAGTCAATTGACTCAACAATATTTTAATTAATAATTTTCAATTTTATTAAATAATCATGGAGAAATCAAAGAACTAGCGAAGAAGATCCTCTTTACTGAAAATACATATGGTAGATGGAAAGTATACTTACCTTCCATTCTCAATACTTTTTTCTTGATGCCATGAGCACAACCTTCACAATGCATATTCATTTTCAGCACGACTATCTTTGCTTGAGGCTACGTGATCCATATATCCAAGTCAATAACAAGTCGAAAATATAAAATTATTAAATATTAAATTCAGTATAAATTATTATATGCGTGCTTGCTGCATCTTACCACTGGTTTTTTTTCTGGCTCTTTTTTATCTTGAGCATTGGGTTTTAGTTTTGGAGATATGAGTTCAACATTTCTACTATATTTTCCTTGAAGTCTCTCTAAAACTTTCGATGGATCAGCCTTCGGTCCCTTCACCATTACCTTGTTCTGTTTGCTATCCATCTTAACTTCTTCCACACCTGACCATTGAAGATTTGCCCACCAAGTCAAAATGGAGCGACAAAGATGAAAAGAAACACACCAAGTTATAAGATTTTAATCAGTTACCTTCAAATCCTTTCAGGATATATAAGATTTTATCAGCACATCCTTGGCAATGCATGTAAGCTTTCAACACAATTTCTTTTCCCTTGTTTTCTTCTTTGTGCTCCTCATGTGGCGTCACGGCTGCCTCTCCATTCCTTTGCTGGCAGCCAGCTCCATTTTGTGCTGCACTACCATCTTTTTTTCCCTAAAAGGTATGGTTCCATAAAAATAACCCATATATTCAAAACATGAAAAACTATTATCTGATGAACAAATTAACAAAAAGGAGAGGAAGAGGGTACTCAATACCTTTCCCATTGCTTAATGATTATCTCTTGTAGGTCAAAAATACTGATGGTGGGAGATGGCGATGACTACAAATTGAATATAAACCCTATCCATCCAAGTTTTTCTTTCTTTATCTTATAGGTAGCATAAGGGCAGGATTCCGTGTGTGTGTGTGTGTGTGGTGTATACGTCCATGTATAGCACATTGCATACGTTACAATACAATAAATTACATAAACAAATGGAGCAAAAAGCTCTTCAATGATTAGTGAAAGATGATATTGCTTATTTTAGAAACATCTTATACTTTTTTGTGTGCTACTTAAATAGTAATGACCATTTGTGAAAATTTTTAACCAGCACGTACCTTTGGATTTCCATGACCTATTTCTAATATGGCTAATAATTTAGGCTGTTCTCGTAGATTATTTACAAGTGACTTATTGCAAATTTGATAAGATGATAAGTATTTTCTATAAAATATTTAATTATGAGTAATCATATTCAAGATTGTTCAATAAATAATTGATTTTGAGTGATAATTAATTAAATAATTGATTTTATCTTTTAATGTTTTCCATAACAGTTAATCCTCTTTTTTTTCATCATCTACAACTAATTATTATTTGTTTGTCTTCACAAACTGCAGATAAACGGCAAATTAAATGTATTGCTACTTTAAGAGTTCGAGCTTTATTGCGCAATTAAAAAAATTAATGTTTTTAATTAATCCTACGAGTAAGTGGAGTTGTGGAAGGACCCCTCGAGGATCATCCATTCTAGTGAAAACATCTACAGGATAAATAATTAAGAGGGTTAAGTGTTAATCATCTTCTTATCTGGGCTTCAAATTTGAAAAATAAAAATATTAAATCAGGTAATTATAAGAAATTTGATTGAATGATTAACTATAAGTGTTTTATTCATTATAAAATATATGTGTTTACATATTGTATGAATATCTTGCTTCAAAATAATAATGGTTGATATGAACTGAAAACTGGACAACTGAAGAGATAAATATATTTTATATTTAAGAATTAATAAATGATTGTAACCATTGATCTCCATCAATAAATGACACGTTGAGGAAAGGAGAAGCTTGTGTATCATTAAGTTTTTGAACATAAGGTGCCCTCATAGTCATGTTGGCTCCAGCACCTAAACAATTGTATTCTGCATAGAAAATAGTCCTGCAAAACGTGTTGTGATATATAGTAATTACCCATTATCATGCAATCAAACTAATTAGTTGCTTTAATCATGAAAGAAATCTGAGTAAATATTGATTCTATGGTTCATACTGGTCTCTGGTGGGATCATTGAAGTCATTCCAGCCCTCAGGCGCAACGATATCAGTCATGCTTGTGTATGAAAAAATGACTGTGGAATATGGCCTCCAAGCTCTACCGAGCCATATTCTTCCTGTACCTCCTAAGGTGCAATTTACAAAGGCAAAACCTGTGTTTTCATCCTTGGAAATTCTACCGTGTGCTGTTACTGCTCCATTTATGCCTTTTGCTCCTGGAGCTACTGGGTTAGCCATAGAAATCAACTGGCAATTCTGTAGAAAATGTCCAGTATTAAGAGCTTAGATATGGTGTCAATTAAATACAGTATAATCTTGATTAAGTAATATTTTTATTCGGTACCAACTTAAATTGAAGTTTAAATAATAAATCGATTAATAAATAAATTTCCACAGTCCCAAGATACTAATTTATAGAGGTTTAATAATAATAATAATAATAATAATAATAATAATAATAAAAATCATGCCTCCAATGGTTTGGTGCTCCCTGTCTCAAATCAGTACTAATTCTTTTATTTTTTTCTATGATTTTTAGTTAATATTGACAGAACAATCTCATTGCAAGACCACAAAACTATAATCGAGCTGCATATTTCTTGGACTCTTTGTCAAGCAGAGTCATGTTTTGCCATGATTTCATTGCAAGACCACCCGGCCCTCTCAAAAATGTCAAGTCACTTGGCCATGGAGCCAATGTCCTTTGACATGGCCTTAATTAGTACTTGAGATCATAATTAATAGAGTTCCTTGCTTGCACCCTTTATCATTCTTTGACTTTGAGCATGGTGATTAATCTCTCATAATTATATCAGGAGGTGTAATTTTTCAACTTAGTTTCATAGCATGCATGCATAAGAATTTATAATAGTAATTAAAATGAAGAATTAGATAGCAGGAAGGCTTGCTTCAGATAAAAATTAAGTCACCTCATAGAGCGACCTTGCATCGCCAAAGATGAAATCAATAGAGCCTTGGATATAACAATCCTTAAAGTAATGGCGACCTCTATCATCATGAAGGGTGTCTTGTGCTCCAAAGAATCCACAGCCCAGAAAGAAAGCTTGGTCTCCAGAGATTCTAATCGCCACTGCTTGGGCTCCAACATCACCGGGGCTTGGAATTGGAGCAACATTCTAGCATGAAAAAGGAAAAATGTTACTCCTTGTCTTCTGACGACACGATGTGGTTTAATGCTGTTGAGCTAACATATTTTACCATGAAACTTATGTTCTTAGCAATGAAGTTGTTCGAGAAAACTTGAACAGAACCGCTATAAAATGTCCCATTAGAAGATTTTGCAGTGTCATTCCATACAATTGCAGTTGATGTATAGCCTTGTCCTTGAAATGTAATATTCTGTTTGTACTTTAGAACGGTGACTTTCTCGCTAAAACAGGCCAACAAAATCATAGTGATAAAGTTAAGTAACTTCAAAGAGAAAAACAGGAAAGCAAACCCAATGTTCTGCTTATAATCCACGACAACGTATTTTCTCTTGAATTCTCTTACACCATCCTTCGATCAGATCGAAAAGATGAATTTAGTCTCGATGAGAGCAAGTTGGTCCCCGAATACCACCTGACTATCAACTACTTAAAATAAAATAAATAAAGAACTAACTTACTAGTAAATGCCAGAATTGATCCAAATTATGGTTCTTTTCTGACTAAAATTCATGACCGAATCAACAGCTGATTGAACTGTTGTGAAATTACAGCATCCGTTTCGATCGACACAAATGGTTGAGGTTGTGTTGGTGTCTGGAGGGGGGAAGTCAGGAGGGAAATCTTCACAAATATTGACTATTTTTCCATCACTATGGTGTTTATTATGGTGGTGGTGATGACGGCGACCTTCAATGCTATATGGAATGAAAGTTGCGATAATAGGCGATGAAAAAGTGGCCAAACCAAGTTCAATGAGTTGGTGCAGCAGAGAAAGGTTTGGGCTGATAAAAACAGTGGATGCCATAATTGCTAAAAAGGCAACCAGGAGAGTGAAAGAAATGTTTCTGAGGCTCATTTTTTTTCTTTATTCAGAATAGGGAATGGACGAAGAGGATTGGTTGATAATATTTTTTGCAATAGTTAGTGCTATATAAATATGTATGCACTTGAAGTGAAAGAATTGGTAACATGTCTTGCAAATCACCCTGTCTCTTGTCGATTCTTAGGACAATTCCCAAGCTATCCAAAACTTCTTGTGGATGAGGCTTGAATTATAGAACAGGGAAAGCAAGCTACTCAGTGCTCGTTTATACATTCGGTTTGTTGCATTTCAAGCCAAAAAAAAAACCATCATGCCTTATTTTTTTTTTTGACATTATTATATTAAATAATTAAAAAAATAATAATTTAAAAGTTTTTTAAAAAATAAAAAAATTGAAAAGATACAGTCCACCGACTCCCCCAGACAGCGTCACAAGCATATCCCATATTTCTCTATCAGAAGCATCATAGGACATGAATGAATGGCATTGGTGAAGAATTGATGGCTTCATCTTTGAAAAACAATTGGACCATCAAACCTCGTCCTCAGAATATATATGGAATCACACTATTATTAAGCAAGAAATTAACACCAAAATAAAAATATAAACAACAAGTTAACCTAAAACCAAAAATGATCTGAATCATTTATTTTTTTAACTTGATCGGAGATATAAGCTTATTTTTAATATATAAAAGTTAGTCCTTTAATATGTACTCGAGTATATGTGAAATTTTTGCACTTAATTATTTTCTGAAATTTTGAAGTAAAATGGGACATAAATATTTTTATTTTCAATGAAAAAATAGACATAAATTTTATTTAAGCGACAAAACTTATTATTTATTATCTATAGGATCTAAGTTAAGAAAAAAAAAAAAATGGTGTGATGGACCAAAGCATTAAAGCCCATCTCTCAAATCATTGAGCTAAAGCTCAGTCCTAAAATCCTCACAACTTGAAGCCGGGCTAATCCATAGTGCTCAGCTTACATCCTCCCAGATGGCAGCTCTTGCATCTCCCACTGAACTTGCCTTTGCCTCAACACCAAACCAAAACCAAGACAAAAACACTAACTTCTTCTGGGTTCAATGCCAACACTTTATGTCCAAAAGGAACAACAAGAATTACATCAAATTTGGAAACTTTCTTGTCTTAACAGCAAGATTTGGTCCAAGTTTGAAACTTTTCAGGTAAGAATTGTTGCTGGTATGCAATTTTTGCCTCTTCTTGTCATCGGGTTCCGTTGAATATTAGTCATGGTTAGTAGATCATCTACAAGATTCTTGAATATTTGTATAGCATCTATTTGCAAAGCCAGGCATTTAAAATGAGCAGAAATTGTGATTATTGATGGTACAATACTAGGTGTTTTGCCTGATGTTGTTAGTTATGATACACTGATCAATGCTTACCCTCGTTTTGTTAGTTTTGAGGCTGCTTATTCAGTTCTTGATAGAATGAAAGAAGCTTGTATAAACCCTGATGTTTTTACTTGTAATTCTTTGATTGCTGGTGCTATGAGGCCTATGAGGCATTGTTTGTTGTCGAAATGTATGGATTTGTTTGAGGAAATGCTTGAGTTGCGGATAAAAGCTGATGTTTGGAGTTATAATACTTTGATGCATTGTTTTTTTAAGCTAGGAAAGCCTGATGAAATGAATCGGGTTTGTACGATATTATACTCTGTTGTTTATCTCCTAAGCCTGATGAAATGAATCGGGTTTTT